CACAACGGGTCGTCGCATAAGTTCATAAATGCCTCGTTATCCCATAAACTAAAGCTGCCCTCTACCAAGATCGAACCGTTTGATGTCCCGAGTAGCCAACGGGGAACGACTGTGATGTTTCGAGCCGTACAAAGAGGTGCCCATTAAATTGCAGGGCGTGACTGTGAAGGCCGATATCTATTCCTTACCCTTGGTAGAGCCGGCATCGCTTAGGGAATGCAATGGTTAGAAGAACTCAGTGATGTGACCACTAACTACCGAGAAAGAGTTATCAAATTTGATGCGGGCAATTGCCGCGTGACCTTGAAGGCTAGTGTCGATGATGGCGCGGGGGAGGTCGGGTTAAAGAGGATTGAGAAGTTGTGGAAAGGGGGAAGCCAGCTTTTTGCCATCATGCTTGAGGGAGGTACGGAGGGAGCCGAGGGCCTATCGCCACATGAGAAGGAGATCCAAGACCTACTCGCCCAGTTTGGCAATGTGCTCGCCGAGCCAAAGGGTCTACCATCAAGGAGGTCGTACGAACACCGCATACCGCTCATCGACAAAGGCCGAGCAGTTCACGTGCACCCATATCGATACGTGCACTTCCAGAAGGTTGAGATCAAGAAGCAGGTTAGTGAGATGCTCGAGTCCAGGCTGATTCAACACAGCACGAGCCCATTCCCATCGCCGGTGCTGATTGAGAAAAAGAAGGACTGTAACACCCCGCTTATCAGAGTAAATTTTTCGCAACTTATTTTAACTCAGGATGCTACTAAAACTCATCTTTATTAAACAAGTATGATAACTTATCTCATTTATAAAATAAATGATAAAACTTTCTTAAATAACACCTTTAAATCACACCAGTTCAAACTTACTATACATAGCGGAAGTCTTTAAGCGTGGCATATACAAATCGTTGCCTTATTGAATTTCACAAGCACACTTTAATAAACTCATAACTTGATATAAAATCCATTTTGCAAGTGAAATCATATTTGAAAACTCAACCAACACCACGATAGCTTGACTCACATCCTCGAACCGACCCTGTTACCTGAAAATGATATTAGTGGGGAGTGAGTACTTACTCAATTGTACTCAGTGGAAACAAATAATATCAATCTCAGAATCATGATCTCAGGTATATATAAGTAAACTGTAATCTCCCAGCCATAGGCCGATAACTGAACTAAATCTCTCGAACACTTTGTTCGTAACCATGTGCACACTCTGATGAAGGTTGGCCTTCACCAGAACTCGGGATGGCATATTAAGGCCACTACACCTCCACCCAAAGCGGTTGAACTTACTTAGGATGGCATA